TTATCGGGGATGCGCACTCAGAAAAACGTCCACAAAAAGGGGAAGAGGATGAACTGAAACAGGTCTAAGCACAGACTCACGCTGCGCCAACCCCCTATGTCTGATCCCGCCTCCAGTTCTCCTGTCTGCGTCTTTAGGCTAAGTGAAGGCGGACGAGGCAGCGCAGAGTGTGGTGCGAGCGGCGCAAGTATGCTATCAATATAAGCTAAGGTTCGCGCACGTCACTGTCCGTGCACCCAACCCAAAGTGAGGCACATGGCAGAAATTCCTGAAAGCGACGGTCTAAGTACAACCACTGCGTCCAATGCAAACACCTCTTAGGAGGATATTGGCTACCAAAATAACTTTCCATTGCGGAGGCAAGACAGACTGAGAACTGATTAAATGCTGGTCTTCGGATATAGTGGGTTTATTTGCACTGACATAACATACTTTTTAATGTTTATCGTCTAAAATCCACGTGCTGGCCAAGCAAAAAAAACCTGAGACCTGCATGGAGAGATCAGGAGTGTACAACAGAAATAAGTAAACAGCTATCCAATGCACCCCTACTCTGATGTAATGATTTTCTTTAATTTTCTCAACTGCCTGGAAATATTTTGACGAAGGCACATGCAAACAATGCATGAACAAGGAGAATATCATTTATCGAAAAAAAGCTAGCTATACAATATTCGTAACAAAACAGAAAACAATACGCCCTTCATAAGTTAATTTGAGTTAACCGTAGGATTTTTAGTTAGCCAAATATAAAGCTGATGGGATAGCAGATATTATCAGTACAAAATAAATTTATTTATTTCGATGGCGGTTTCAAAACCTTCTGGAAGGAAGTAGATCTTAGTCCCAATATTCATGACGAAGGACGCTCAGACGGATTATTATGAAAAAAATACCTACCAATTTTGATAGTTTTGAGAAAATTGTTAAGAAATGGAATAATCTAAGACGAAGTAGTAAAACATTCGCTACTCAGCAAAGCAGAGGGAATAAAGTAGTCGTTCCAAGCAATTTTAAGCATCTGCTTTGTTTTTCGTTTTTTAGTTCTCATTTTATGTCCTTTGATTTAGAGAAAAGAGCTGTCATCTTCAATAAAGCAACAGCATTTATTTTTACGGCAATAATTTAGGAAAATGTACAGTCCTCGGTTGGTATGAGCCAGGCGCAAACTGCGACTTCTAAAAATCTTACTTTCGAGTACAACAATTTTTCAGAAAATAACCATATACTCTGCATTTAAATACATCTCAAGGTACAGGCCTACAAATATTGACAGGCTCAAGAACTGAGTACGGAGAACCATCAATTAAAACAGAGGTATCGTTTGAAATCGAGCCACCAACACAGAAGATACGCGAATTTCCTGTAAGAAAACCTGATATTTATGTCAGCAGCTTGACGTTTATTCCAATTTCAGGTAGTGTATAAATTAAACATTTGTAAGAGCGCAGTCGAAAGCTTACCCGAATAAATTTAGCAAACATTGAACCCTCCTTCCTCTTCATCCAGGGCATGAGTTCACTGCCCGTTTGAGGGCAACAAATTGGAAAGGAAAGAACGGATCTAAGGCCGTGCCAGAACCCCGCGAGTAAGTAGATCTTCCGCAGAAGCCTCTTTATATTTTCTTTTATTTTGTTTTCTGTCACTTCAAAAGAGATGCGTTAAAGGCTGACGGTGCGATAATTGGTAACGTTGGTTCAGGCCCACCATTATATATCAAGTAGATATTTGTTGTCCCCCATTCAGATGGCATACCTCCCAATGCGAACGAGGAAAGCAAGATATGCCGCAGTAGTTTCGAGTGTTTGCTCACTGTTTAAGGCAATTCAGTATTATCTTGTCCGAAGCCGAGGACTAAGCTCTTCTGCGGTTCTGCAGCTGTCTTACCACCACGGTTGACGGGACGTATGAAAACTTAAGCGCTGAGGCGAAATTTCCTACAGGACGATTGACATTGCAAATTGGAATATCGGTTTTATCTAGTTAATGCATAAACAAGAGACTGACTGAAGCAATCAGTTTAGGATGTTTGACAACTTCTAAGTCACTGTCATCCAGAAGTATTGCAATCGAGCCCGTTCTGCCTACTAGAATGTTGATATAATAAAATAAACTCTTTGGCTCTTTCTGGATGTATTTTGACTGACAGCAAAATCTTTTGAAGTATTGTCATGAATCATTCTCCATGACCTTTTTCATTCTCTATTTTTATTCCGAAACGTTCTGTTAACTTGGATAATTGACCAGACAGAGATCTGGTAATTTGTTGTAATTTTACAGGACAATGAGGTCAAATAAGGTCTATTTAAATGGCTTTAAAATATAAACAGTACCCTGAATCCCTCCTGAGCACGATTCCACTGCTCGGTCGAAAGCAACAACCTGATGCCGTTTGGAAAGCCGAAATTAATTAGTTCTCCTCCAAATACTTCGTCGTCGTTCTTAAATTAAGTTTTCTATAATCTCACAACAGGTGTATTGAAGAATGCCGTGGCGATAATTGGAAACACTAGTTCTGGACCCGTCATTATGTGTCGGATAGATATTTATTGTCCGCCATTCGCATGAGAGACTTTACGATGCAAAAGACCAAGGGGAGATATGCCGCAGTGGTTTCGATAGTTTGTTTGACAATCTTAATAAGCAATTCAACAGCATGTTGTCCGATGTTGAGGAACTAGCTCCTCTGAGGTTCAACCGCTGTCTCTCCATCGCGGCTGATGGGAAAAGATATCTAGGCAAAATCTGGAACAGGACTTTCGACTTTATAAATCAGAAACTTTTCTTGCCAAGTAAATACAAAAGTAAAAGTTTGACCCAGGCATTCGGATTGGAATTTTTAATGAGTTCTACATCAATTTCACTTCTATGTACTGCAACTGTGTCCGTACTTTTTATTGTACTGTTGATAAAACAAAATAAAGCATTGGCTTGGCTTTTGGTTTCTGAAAGATTCATCAATCATAGCTCTTTCTTGCTTGACAGTTCAGTGTTCGGACATATTTTGTTGGCCGAAAAATTCCCTGAGGTTTTGTTGTGATCCGATTGCTTGGAATTTCCGCCATTTTCTACATTTATTCCCGCACTCTCTGTTATGGTCTCTTTTCGAGTCGTTTTTGTACTGTGTAGAACAACGACACCGAAGCACGTGCAGTGATATGGTCGCTAACAACCACCAGTCTGCCTCTGGATTCTTCATGAGCAAACATCCTAATTCATGGGTATCAGCGCATTCCTTGCCGGGTTAAAGATGGATTTTTATCTATTTTACCGGCCTTTTCCTTTGTCGGAATTGAGAATAAAGAGGGTGATACCATCGGAGGGCAGTTTGCTCAGAAAGTGCACGACAATATACTTCGTTACTGTCAACTAAGTATTTCGTTAAGACGAGGGCCAGGCAAATTGCCTTCCGCTTTCTTTCAATCCCATGTTGCTCTCTGTGTATTCTTTGCTGTGCAGGTCAAGATGTAAGTCCAGTAACAATAAAATAGTCGCGCCAGTACCCAATCGAATGTAGATGCATTGGAATTCGCTGCATTAGAAACAATTAAGTGACTGACCACTCGCTTGACCGAGTGGAACAGCAACTTGCCACTCTTTTTTGCATTGGTTATTGTGGGTGTAAGTCATTACAGAATTCGCATGACTAGACTAATCCTGTGTTTGTAACGTACTTAAGATAATATGCGAAGCCTCTTAAAGCGGCGTGCGCTATAATGAAGACAATCCTATCAAGTCGGAATAACGCGGATACTTTCAGTTATTTGTTTCTCTAGCTGACCGCCTTGGCGAACATCCAGTCTAAATACAAAGCCATTGAAAGTTAAGACCTTACGTTTTGAAATTGACATATGAACACAGTTCGTCTGACGACCCGAAAAAATGTCTATGCCCATTTGCACTACATTGATTTAAAGGTTGGCCAAGCCCATTTTTCTATCCGTAGAGTTCACAAAAGTAATAGAATTGACATTGGCTTGGTGTGTGCCAGGGATTTTTTAAACAGTACAACGAATTTACCACCTTTTGTGTAGGTGTAAGTCAAACTTTAACTATAAAGTAAAAATGTGTTTTTTCGGTTTCACTGACATACACCATGTCTAACTATATAAATATCTTCAAGTTACGATTGCCTGCCATAATTCTTTAGAGAAGACAGTAAAATAAAGTCCACATGATTCATATCCGAGGTTAACAGAATAAATATGTAATTCATATATTTGAGTCGTATTCTTCAAAGGAAACTGGATTTTGCTCCCTAGGACTCTAACTCCTTTATAAAGCGTAAAACGTGCCTTATATTATCTTCATGGATGTTCGTCGTAATCGATTATAGAAGTAAGTTACTACAAATTTATGGACGATCAGCTTTGCACGGTTTCATATTTTATACTATTCTGTAAGTCCGTACGTACTAGAGTCGAGTAGCAGTAGACGTTAAACGCAGACCCGTCGACTTGAGACATATATAGTATTCAAAAGCCCAAAAGTACTTGAATTCTGCAGATTGGCCTGCGTTTCAGTTTATACGCACGTGTCGTTACTTTTAGAAATCGTATTTCAGTCAAGCCTTGTTCTTCAGAAAAACCTTTTGACATAAACACAATAGACATGTAGTCCTGACTTCACACAGACTTAAAATGATGGCATTTCCATTGATGTATATGTTTATGGCACTTAAAATCGGAAATAAATTTCCTCAGTAGGGTTTTCTGGAAACTCATTCTAAAGAAAACTCATTCTAATAGTGATTAATTTTCCTCGCTGAAAACGACATCTAGACTACACTACAAAGGAAGTCCGTCTACTATTCCATATGAATAAATGTTAATCGATTGAAAATTTGACAGATCCAGAATATTTATTTGGTTAGTACCAGTGAACATATACATTTGTTCATGTCTATGTATGAATCATGTAAAAAAATAATTTATACATGAAATTTCATTAAAAGTCCGAAATGGATCTTCCGAATGAAAGAAGAGGACACAACATCGCACTCATTTCTTTTTGCCTCTCCGAAATCTGCGGAAAATGGAACGTCTTTTGTGTTTCTTTTCGTCTTTTACTGTTGTATTCTCGGAAGGTTTTTCATTTTTCTCGTTTTTCTCTGATTTGTTTACGGGTTGTGCCTCTTTCTTGTTATGTTCGGATTTGGCCGCTTCCTCTTTGGATTTGGATTTGACCGGCTTCTCTTGAGATTCTGATCTAACGGCTTTCTCTTTAGATTCGAATCTAACCGCCTTCTCTTCGGATTTGTATTTGATCGGTTTCTCTTTAGATTTCGATTTATCCGCTTCCTTTTTAGATTTTGATTTGGTAACTTTGTCTTTATCTACAGATTGGGTTGTTTTTCCCTTAGCTGGAGCTTTTTCCACCTCTCCTTTTTTCATTTTGGATTCACTTTCTTCCTCCGAATCACTTTCATCAGAGTCACTGTCATCCGATTCGCTTTCTTCATCTGAATCGGATTCAGATGAAGATTCATTTTCAGAGCTACTATCCTCTTCCGAACTCGTACTATCAGAATCATCACTGGAACTGTCGTTGTCACTGTCACTGTCGCTGTCGCTGGAGCTGTCACTGGAACTCTCACTGGAGCTGTCACTAGAACTGTCGCTGGAACTATCACTTGAACTCTCGCTCGAACTCTCACTTAAACTGCTTTCACTTTCCGACTCACTCTCCAATTCGCTTTCTGGTTCAACCAATTTTTTATTTTTTTCCTTTTCGCTAATCGTGGCTGGCTTCTTTTCTGCATGTTTCTTTACGAAGCCTGGTTTTCGAAATTTGCTTCGTTTAGCACTATTCTTGTCATTTTTTGGATTTTTAACTTTGGTTTCCTCTTTTGATCTATTCAAAGGTTTGTTAACGATTAGCAGTACAATCTACCTGTATTTAGTAACGGCCATTACCTTCCAGAAGAGTTAACTTTCCCGACGTTAAGCTCTCTAAATGAGGCGAAAACGTAAAACAGCTCAAATAACAAAAAAAAATAAAAAGGCAAGGTCGACTTACTGAGTCGCGTCCTGTGAGAAGGAGCGGAATCATATGGACATGCTCGGCCTTTTTATAGCAGTTATCGATGTAACTGTTGACCTTGTAATAACGCACTCAAAGCAATTTCGTAATTCATATAGATATTCAAGCACAATTTTCATTCTAGTAAAAAAGGGTTATCTGAGAATACTTTATTCACTTTTTAGCAAAATATGTGCCAACGTAATATTTAATGGTCCACAGCAACTTTACCTTCCGTTAGGATAATAATAATATGTTTATTATGCCAGTTTACAGGCAATTGTAAGGAGTTGG